GCCAGACCAGATATTTTTGATCGCGAAAAGGGGAATACTACGGTAGAAAATTAGGTTTGATTACTGTACAACTTCGTACTTCAATTAAGTATTGGTTTTTTATAAAACAGCCGTCTCCAAAGTTTCTGAAAAAGCTATAACGACAAAATAAAAATGAGCTTGACTAGAGTTTACAAGCATTTATTCCTGCATAAGGCAGGAAACGTATATACGTGAAAACACCGTAACACACTAGATGAAACAACTGCTTTAAACACTATTGACGTTTGAGAGCGACCTAGAGTTAAAGCAAAGATTATTTTTCCTACACTGGTACTAGGTGAATTTAAATTAGTACTCTTTCTATTTTTATCTATCTTTGCATAATAAAACCTTCGTTACCCATACAGATAATAGTAAAATAAAATCTGCTGGCGCTTTCGCAATTAAACGTGCCTCTTATTTTCAATTCGTTGCTGAGGAATAATTAGAAACGCAAAGACACAGAGGTTTTAATTGTCTGCGGTGGCCGACTCTTTTAGATTTCAGAGAAGTTGAGTTACAACTAGCAATTTAGACCTCTAATAGTTCAGTTTTAAATTATTGCATTTCAGTTACTAGTCTCACCAAAACACAGTTTACAGGAGATTTGGAGTTTGAACTAAGACGCCACTACATAATCAAAGAAAAAACTGTGCCGCTAAGTATCTAGTATAGTTTCCACGTTAATAAATCCAAAACGTAGACAGAAATGAAACAAAAATCTAACGTTCTAGCGGATCTTACTCAGCAAGTTCGTAAAGTAGAACAGACAAACAACATTGATTCAAAATAATAAACCAAGAATATGACTTCCAAACTTTTTTTGTATAACAGTCTTTAATGCACCTCTGGATTTTTTTAAAGCAGCACAAGTTTTCTGAATTTTGAACTACCAAAGGCTTTGAATTTTACACGTAAAACTGGTTAACAGGTCGAAAAATATCAAGTGCTGCCAAAGTTAGAGCAACAGGCGCCAAAGAGAATATTGATGCAGCACTTCAGCTTTAGAAAAGTCCTGCAAGGTTTAAAGCATTGAGAGATATCTAACGAAAGTACAAAAAATACCCCTACAAACCTAGTTTTTTGCAATCGGTCAGGTCCAAGTAGCTTAACATACTAATAGTAAATGAACTGCTCAAAATGCTGCCGCCAGCTTTTCGCGAACGCTGAAAAATTTTTAAAAGCGTGACTGTTGAGCGCTGTATTAAATGCAGGTAACGAGGTAATTTCGTAGATTAATGCAATGAGAAGCTACAAAAATGACGCTGTCGAGGAGCAAATAACATGTACTGCAGAAGTGAAACACAGTCGGATGGTTCGCTAACGGTTCTAATACGTGCATTTACTACAGCCGCTAGCAGAGAGATTTGAACGGACGAGGTATTTCGCACTAGCGAGCGAGAAGCTTTACCAAGCTGTAACATCTCGATTAATAAGCTGCAAGAAGAGAAAACTCGTGAAGAACAAAATAGGTTTCGCATCACATGAAATTTCTAATATGCCATTGGTTACTCGGATGGTGCGATTGGGAGGCGCCTTCATCATTATTGCGGCATGTTTTCCTCAAGAACAGCCCACAAAGATGGTGTTTTCTGATACGTACTCGATGGTATCTTTGCAAAACATCCCTAATGTTTCCCTAGAATAAGGGAAAGAAGTGGTCAAAGTATAATACGTAGCATCAGTAAAAATACTATCCTTGGGAATCGCAAAGTAGTTCGTTTCTCACCGGCGCTCCGCTTTCCTGCTCATAAGTGCTAAACGAACTAAACGAACGAGAACCAGCACCCACAATTCTTTTTTTTTTTTTTGTCGTGAATAACATATTCTGATCTTTTTTACAGATTTATCATTTTGAAAAAAATGTAGGTGAAGAGTCTTCATACTTGTGATGGGTCTTATAGTTTCTCAAAGCTGAGTTTTGTTTTTTTCACCCAGATCCCGAGTGACTGTCGATTGTCAATTCATAGCCGCATGATGAATAGTGAACAAAACAAAAGAAAAGATTCCTTCTCATTTATTTTTCTACTCGCCTGATAAAAGTTAAAGAGACAAAAAACAACTTCAACCAGGAACACAAGAAAGAAAAAAACATTTGGCAGAAAGACTGTTTTGAAAAAAAAAGGTGGGAAAATCAAAGAAGCATCATTTTAAAGAAAAGAATGAAACAAAACAATACTTGCATAATAAGAAGCGTGGTTGAACTACCTGTAAAAAAAGATACTGGGAGTTGAAAAGAAATAAAATATGGTTTTTCAACTTAAAAAATCGTGCTTTTTCAAATTTGCAGCAGTACCCTCTCTTGCAGTTTTAAAAGCGAGGGTATCTGATGGTGCGGTTTCAATCTCGCAGACACTAAACAGTCGGCATATTTGTGTCAGTTGACAAGAGTGAAACCGTGTATAGACATGCAGTGAAGACCTTCGTGGTTTATGGACACGCGTATCAAAACTGGCGTCCAATTTCATTTTTTTGTAGGAAAAGCCAAATCTCCCGATTTCAGTCGGCAGTGCCGTGAGAAACAAAGTTTTCCCGTCAAGGCTATTCCGGCCAATAAAGCTGAGTTATTTTATAAGATACACGTGTATATAAAAAGACTGTGTTTCACGGCACTGCTGACTGAAATTAAGAACTTCGGCTCTCTCCTGAAAATGAAATAGAAAGTTTAGAAGAATGATCCATCATTTAATCCGGCTTACAAATCTTTTCCAGATAGTTTCTACTTCTAAGAATAAAACATGCAACTTCGCATAATTGAAGTTTTCTACAGTACGACAGATGGTGAGGAAGCAGACACAACTGGAAAAGCATCTTGTTGCCAACACGGTAATCGTCTCATCTATTCGGGGAATGCGTCGCGTTTACGCTTCTACTATTGACATTTAGCAC